TCACCTTGATTTCTATTGTATAGGTTCTCTCATATATTTGTCTTCGTTTGTGAGAAGCAAAAATTCTTATCACATGTTTATTGCTTCTGTTTGCTAAAAATATATGATGTAGATCATCTTATGGCCCAACTTGCTTTAAATCATATGGATGGTTGGCAATCATTGTCTCTATTTTTGTGGCAGATCTCAGTACTCGAGCTCGCAAAAATGTGAACTTGAGTGATATCAAGGTTGATGTATGCGTCTACGCATTTGATATGTTGTATCTTAATGGCCAACCACTTATTCAGGAGGAGTTGAAAGTTCGTAGAGAGGTATGCCTAATTATAGCTCATTTAGTTTTGAACTTGCAGTGCATTGTTTTGCTGGTTGAGATCTTTCCAAGTGATGATTCTCTGTGGATATTTCTAGTTGTTATCTAAGTATGTGGCAGGGTCATTTTACAGCTTTAGGTATCTATTCATCATGCTTATTGGCATCTTATTTCCACTATGATGAGTTCCTGTTAATGTTTCAAAGCAGTAGGGTAGTGGAATTATTCTACCTCCAGTGTACCACTTAAGATTTATGAAGGTACCACTTGAAAGTTATGATGTTTAACTTGTTCAATTTATTTACTTTCAAGACAGGAGTTAATTGGTTACTTCTTGTTTGCAGTAAAAAAAATAATACTGATTACATTTTTTGTAACCATGGAATTGAAAAACTCTTCTATTTTTGGCTTTAAATTTTTTTGGGGTCAAAATAAGTTATTATGAACGTTTTTCTCTCTGATGTTATCAAGAACATTGGTTGACCCTAAATGATGTTGATGCAATATTTTACATATTAAAAGTTATAAGATGATGCTTTGGATTCCAAATATTGGTCTACTATTTATTATTGTTGATTCGCATGGAGATGCTGATGGTTGAGGAAAGGTGAATAGATTTGAGCAATCTGAGTTTCAAAACATGTTGGAAGATTTTATTATGATTCTCCATCTAGAAGAGGTGGTGACTTGATTATGCTTGTTTCTCATTTTGTGTTCTTCTTAGTTAGAAGTTTACATTTTCGACTACAGCTGTAAAACCTTTGATCCTCTTGAGCTAATCTTTGTATCACAGTATTTTTTCTGACTAAAAATGTTACTTTTTGTTTGTTCTAATTTATCTCGGATCTTTATAGATTTTTGGGAGTTAATTATATGCCTACTTTTGGCACGTGGCTTTTGCTTGTTTCAGAGGCTTTATGATTCATTTGAGGAAGAACAAGGGTATTTTCAGTTCGCAACAGCGATAACATCAAATGATATAGATGAAATACAAAAGTTCCTTGATGCTGCCGTTGATTCAAGGTATTTATTGCATGCTTTAGATGATACGCTCTAGGAATGGATATGAATCTCGTATTTCGGGAAACATACTGATAGTTCGATATTTTGGTTGCAGCTAGCCTTGTCCTAAAGAAAATGTTAGTCTCATGGTCCTTGCATTAGGATCTTGCTATGGGGGTTTAACCCCCCACAAAAAAAAATCATAAGTTTGGAAGATGAATACTTCTTGAATCATCTTCCTTTAGTTTTTATTTTGAAGTAATAGAATGGCCTCCTTTAGAAAAACCTGCTAGTTCTAACAAAAGTAAGAAAATCCTCAAGAAACCTTTTTATTGGAAACTTTTCACTACCTACCATTTGATTCTTCTATTAACATTAAAGGGTGTTTAAAATTGTGGAAGAATAAATATATATTTTGTCGAATATTAGGTCGCTACATATACAAGTGAATAGTAACAATATAAGGAAACAATATTAATTACAAGGGTCATAAAGGTCAAGATATATTACTAATATACCATTTACCCTAATTTAGCCCTTATATACACTTCTTAAGACTCCATGTTAAAAAAAATACACTTCATAAGACTCCATCTCAAATTAGTGAATAGATATTATTCATTCTCAATTTGACAATAATTGTTTGAAATACAAGATTACTTAATCCTTTAGTCAATATACCAACGAATTTCAAGGTGGCGGACATGAAGTACATTTGACCCACTGTCCAATTTTTCTATGATGATGTGTCTATCTATTCAATATACTTAATTCTGTCATGTTGTATTAGATTGTGAACGATGTTAATCGTTGACTTATTATCACAGTAAAGCCTCATATGTCTGTTTTGTTGAATCTTTAAGTATTCTAAAATTATTTTCAACGATAAAAGCTTATACACCCTTTGAGTCATAGTTCTAGACTTTGACTTTGCACTAAATTGGAGCTATCATATTCTGCTTCTTACTTCTTCAAGTCAGTAGATTCCCTCAGATAAAGGTACAATATCCAGAGGTAGATCTGCTATCAACTAGTGATTCCACATAATTCACATCAATGCATATTTCAAGAAACACTCTATTGTTTTTGAACATAATTTATTTCCCCATCTTACCTTTCAAGTAGTGAAGTATTATGTTGTCAATTTGTATGTGCATTTCTTTGGCTTGCGTATGAACTGGTTCACCATACTAACTGCATGTGCAATGTTTGGCCTGGTAAATGACATATATCAATTTCCCTATTAGTCTCTGGTATATTTCTCTATCCATAATTGGATTTTCTTCTATTAGTCCTAGTTTATTACTAAGATCAATGAGCATACTATCATACTTGTATTCTAGTTTACTAGGTTTCTTCTGTCAATCCCATTTTATGATTGAGATCAATGAGATGAATATTATGGATTTTGAGTATGTTACCTCTATCTTGAGAAAATATTTTACTTCCTAGTTCTTTAATATCAAACTCTTTAGTCAAATATTGCTTGAGAACTATCTTTTCTCATTTATCATTTCCTGCAACAATTATGTCATCTATATATGCCAGGAGGATTGTGACTCTCTCTAACTCGAGGTGCTTAATGAATATGGTGTAATCTCTTTGATTTTGTTGTATTTCATGGATAACATTATCTTTACAAATCTCCCAAACTATGCTTGAGGAGATTGTTTTAACCTAGAAAGTGCTTTTTTTAGTTTGGTGTATCTTGTTCGTTCTTACTCCCTTAACAAACTTGGGAAAATTTTCTACGTAAATTCCTTTTTCCAATTCTCCATGTAGGAAGGTATTATTTGCATCAAACTGCTGTAAGTGCCAATTGAAGTTAGCCGTTAAAGGTAGTAGGATACATGCTATATTCATCATTGCAACGGGTGCAAATGTCTTTCTGATAGTTAATATCATAGGTTTGAGTATACCTTTTGGCCACCATCTTGTCTTGTACCTCTTATTGTTCCATCGGGGTTGTACTTGATAGTGAACACTAACTTGCACCCAACTATTATCTTTCCCTTAGGTAAGTCTATTACTTCCCTTATTTAATTTTTTTTCAAGTGCTTGTGTTTCAATACTCATGTAGTTTTTCATCCCTCATAGTTTAAAGCCTTAGATAATGTTTAAGGGATGGATACTGCATCTAAACTCATGAAAAATTCATGTACAATAGTGAATATTTTTCAAAAGAGACAAAATTTAAGACTTGATAGAGTTGATGCTTAATGCATTCTCGTGTCCCTTTCTTAAGTGAGATATGCCTGGATGAACTTGCATATGGTTAATGTGTACTTCAAGAACTAACTCATTTAATTCTTTTTAAAAGAATCCTCTTCCTGGACTTCTTTTAGATATTCTAGGATTGTATGAGCTACTTGCAAGGGTACTTCCTTGGAGTCTTGCATAAATAGACTCATTGAACCAACCGAGTATGCTATATTCAGCCTTTTATGGTATAGATAAATGAGTTTCTCGACTAAATGTTGGTACATATCTTGATCAACACTAAGGTCTTCACTAGATTGATCAAGTTTATGGTTAGGATCTATAGGAGTTGGAACAGGTTAACAAGCCAGTCTTCCTGTTTCTTTTAGGAGATTAGCAACATTTTTCCTTGTGAAATGAATATCTCCAATTCGGAGTGAGCTACTTTAATCTCCAGAAAGGAATTCAACACTCTCTAACTCCTTTATTTCAAACTCCCTAACTAAATGTTCGTTCCCTTTTTTTCTTTTTCATCATTGGTAGTCATAATTATATCATCAACTTAGAATACAAAACTCTAAGTTCCTCTGAATCTGAATTCTTGATAAGCAATGTATGATCTCCTTGGCTTTGTTTATAATTTATAGCCAAGTTACCTTAGCAAATCTTCCAAACACACCCTCAATGGTTGCTTCAACCCATAAAGAGCTTTCTTTAATTTGCAAATTTTATTAGCTACCATACTATTTCTTCTTCCAAATCACCATAAAGGAATGCTTTCTTTATGCCAAGGGTAATGTGACCTTCATAGTGTTCATTTTTGTCATTGGTACGAAGTCTCTAGATAATCCACTCCATGTGTTTGGGTGTATCATTTAGCTACTAATCTCACTTTATACCTTTACAAAGATCCATTAGTTTTGCATTTCAAAGTAAATATCCTTTTACATTCCACAGTTTTTTTTTTTTCTTCGGCAATTCAACCAATCCCTAAATTTTATTTCTCTAATGAATCCATCTCAATGGTCGTAGCTTTCCTCACTTTTCATTAGATAATGCATTAGATAAGGTCTTAGGTATGAGAATAGTACTTAGGTTGTTAAGGGAAGTTTTATGGGAAGGCGAGAATCTATGAAAGGATACTGTGGGATAAGGGATACAGAGGTTGTTTGGTACACTCTCAGATTTCTTTCCTCGAGGGAATAGGGAACTTACTGTCATCATTCTAAGTTTTTGTTTCACTAGATTTTTCAGAAAGGGTGGGTTCTGATATCTCACATACTCATTTACTGGATGTTCCAGAGTAGATTCCTGGATTGCTATCGGATCTGGAAGGTCAACTAGTTTTTTTTTTTTTTTTTAATTCAACGATCCATATCTCTTTATAACAGTAATAACTTTTGTAGGCACTTTATCATGTATGACTGAGTCACTAGGATTAGGTGCCCTATCAGACTCAGATGATTCTATCCTAGGAATGGATGACAAGGACAACGGTGAGAGAGAGAGTTCAAAGGGGTTATCCAAGTTATCCTTCTTGTCTTCCCAAGGTACGCACTTTCTAGATAAGGTTGGGAAAAATAGGGTATAGCTTCAGCAAATATTATATCTGTAGACATGTATTTTTTTGGAAGATGGATCGTAACATCTGTAGCTTTGAGTTGGTAACCATCTTGTAAATATTCATTTGACTGCTTGAGGTTCTAGTTTTTTTTGTTGAGGACCATGTACATGGACAAATGTTGTGCAACCAAAAACTGGAGGCATCAGGTTATGGAAAGTTCTGACATCTGGATAAAAATTGAGAGAGATATTGAATGGAAGTTTTTGAACCTAAGATCTTCGATGGCATCCTATTGATCATATATACAGATGTGAGAACAGTTTCCTCCAAATGTGTTTTTGGTGCATTATGATGAAATAGGAGAGCCCTAACAGTGTTTAAAGGATGATTATTTTTTCTTTAAGCCATTCCATTTTGTTGTGGTGCATAATTGCAAGATGATTCATGAATAGTGTGTTCCTTTTGGAAAAAAAGATAACAATTTCCTTTTAGGCGACAGTTTCCTTATTCATGAGCAGCTAAGCAACAATTTCTTTTTCCACACAGCCATAAAAATTATCCTGTAAAGATAATGGCATCAAAGAGCACCACATGCACTTTCTTAATGTAAAACCAGAATATGCAAAATGTGAAATTCGTCCTTGCTGTGCCCAATTTTTGTTGTTGATGTGGTGAATGATAGTTACACTGCTTTCCGTAGTGTTTTTATCCCATGTGAAAATATTTATTGTCACCTGTTATCTGCTGTGCAGTCTGAACTCAATTCTAGATTTTACTTGAGCACCAGGCTACTAAAGAGCATGTGCAAACAAATCTCTTTAACTTTATACATAACTCTGTCTTGCTCATTTGGGCTGATAAAATATGAGTGGCTGCATCAGATATAGCAACAAACATTATGAGTTGCTTATGTGTTTGTGAAAATGAGATCGCAATTATATATTATTTTCACCTATTAAAGATATCTGTATTCTTATGGAAATCTTTCTTTTCTAGTTATTAACTCATTTTAGTTTGCAGTTGTGAGGGTCTAATCATCAAAACATTGAATATAGATGCTACATATGAGCCTGCAAAGCGCTCACTTAACTGGCTGAAGTTGAAGAAAGATTACATGGATAGGTAACAGTTAGATACTGAGTATATCCTAATTTAAATCCAGCATTATGGTTTTTAAGTTTATATCAGTTCTTTGCAGTATTGGAGATTCAGTGGATCTAGTACCTATTGCTGCTTTCCATGGTCGAGGGAAACGTACAGGTAATTCCCATGTAGCAATTTAGGTCACATCTTTTACTGTATATACGATGTACTTACTCCAATTTCCTTGATGCACTATTTCTCTGTCAAAGCTTTGTATGACAGAAACAGTATGTATGATGCTTTTCTCTTGTCACTTATATCTTTTGGCATGTCTTCAGCAATGTATTTATCCTCTTCTCCTTAACAGGTGTCTATGGTGCTTTTCTCTTGGCTTGCTATGACAGCAACAACGATGAATTCCAAAGCATTTGTAAAATAGGTATGCAAAATTCTGCTGCTGCTAAGTAGCTACTTAGTCCCTACAATTAAAAACTCTTCTAATCTATTCCTCTGATTTTCCTTGGTCATTTGAAATGGTGGACAGGCACTGGATTTTCTGAAGCAATGCTTGAAGAGCGTTCTGCTAGTCTTCGTTCAAAAGTAATTCCTAGCCCAAAGGTTTGTGTTTGATGCAATCACTAGCCATTATGTATTTGTATTATTTCTTATATTATATTGTTGTTAATTCCAACAACCATTTCTTTTCCAGCCATACTACCGGTATGCAGATGCAATCAATCCAGATGTTTGGTTTGAGCCTACAGAGGTAAGATTGTAGTAGACTCATTCTATTCTGGAATCTATAATAGTACTTGTATGAAATATAGTAACTATACTGTATGTTCGAAAGAAATATAAGTAGTTACAGGGATCTCTATGCCAAGAAAAGAAAAACTATGAAGAAAATTTTAACAATATGAGAAAGATTTATATTAGAAAATTAAAATATAAAAAATATATTTTATATTCTAACCTTCCTCTTAACTGGAGTATACCATATACACAAAACTTGTTATAAATGAACTTCATGCGAGCCCCTCCTAAGAATTTTGTATTTGGTCTACTGACTTTACATAGTATTCCAAATCATATTTTATAGAAAATTTTTCTTGGATAAATTTACAATCATCTCAATGTGGTTAGTTCTCATGAAATACTGGTTCGTAACAGTAGATTGCTCCTGGTTATCCTGTAAGGATTCTATGGTTTGGTGATTGTGGACAGCCACATATTTTAAAGTTTTCGATATAGTTCATAACAAAGTTGATGGATCTTTACTAGATCCCCTTCCCTAATTAACTTAAAAATGATTCTCATTCTAGCTTATTCAAAACTCCTAATCTAAATAACATTTTTTCCTAATTAAAACTAAAATACCAACCTAAACCTAAAAGATGGTCAATCGCATAGAGAGATCAGCCCGAAATTCTGGTCACTTGCGGGCCTGCACCTAGAGTGTGACATATTTTTCTGCTGCTTATTTTCTCTCTTGGTTTCTTCCTTTTCCACTTAATTTTCTTTCTTTTTTTTCTTTGCTTGCATCTGGGACCTGCTTCTAGTTTTGATATATGAAAATATTTTTTAGTTTTCATTTTCTAAATTCATATATATTTATCTTATAAGGTAATATATTTATGATTTCCTATTGGCTAAGTTTTTGCATAACTGGTCTCAATTATTTCATAGTTTAGGCTTAAACATGTGAACCGAAACAGAATTTAGACATGATAGCTAAAATATGATATGACATAGAAAGAGCAGAAAGTTATTTTAATTTTTTTAGAAAATTGGTTTTGTTTTTACTTAATTATACTCTAAAATAATGTTATGATTTTTTTGAATTAAAAAATTTATACTTTTGAGTATCCTACAACAATACCACCATTATTAATTTTTTAAAAAAACTGTTTATGCACGTCTCTGAATTTAAAAGTGAAAATTTAAAAAGAAAATTATGCATAAAGAGAAGCTGTGTATTTTCTTAATCAGTGATTTTCTACCTCCTTTGTTTGGATTTTAAAACAAGAGTCTTTTTCTAGGAATCTGATCAACAGCCTTAAATGGTGGTTTTAGATTTGGTAAAAGGAGCCTTTTGTTTTCATGCATATGATATACTTGTTTGCTAACCTAACAATACAAATGTTCTTACAGGTTTGGGAGGTGAAAGCTGCAGATTTGACCATTAGTCCTGTTCATCGTGCAGCTATTGGCATTGTAGATCCTGATAAGGTTAATAACATTACCCTATGCATAGATGTGGTGCTTTTAGTCAATTGAAAAATATTGTTTCCTGTATTTCTTGGATAAAGGGTATTTCTCTACGGTTTCCACGCTTAATACGTGCTCGGGAAGATAAGACTCCAGAGCTGGCTTCAACATCTGAGCAGGTGAAGAACAACTGCTAGTTCCTTTGTCTGATATAAATTCACTTTGTAATCTTTTTTGCTTTACATCTTTTCCTATTTTTTTTTTCTCAAGGTTGCTGAGATGTATTCTGCACAGAAACACAATCATCCAAACAATCTCGATGACAATGAGGAAGACTGAGGAACTGAATTTTATGCTCTCCTTGTTATTGGGGACTTCAATTTTCATGAAGTTAAAATGGTGTTCATGCTAGACCCATATGAGTAGACTGTGACAAACTCTTTGCCTCAGAGCCCCAAGCCTAACTTCAGAAGCACCATTATTGGGTCTATAACATTTGTAAGATGGTGGAGGATGCATAGTGGAATAAATTATTGATGATAAAAAGTTGATCACAGTGAATTATTCTTCAGACTCACATTGATATGATTGTGGATGTATTGCTGCTGCAAGATTTATGAGTGGTCTGATCTCTTACAAAGCGATTAGGAGAAGCAGCGGGAGATGATTATTATTTATGGAATTTCTAAGTTCATTTTTGCATTCTCTATATTAAGATCTTAGCCTAACAGCTCTCAGATTAACGAAAGAAATGTTCATCAAACATCATTTTCCCAAAAGCACAAGTTTGCTGGTGGACCAGGATGCTTATCGGGATTCATCCAGATTCTTCTTTGTAATGCACATACATACTATAAGATGGTAAATGAAGTTTCCAAGTGATCAAAAGTTGTTGTATTTTAGCTGGGGCTTCTTGTTGGTTTTCCTAGCTTGTCCGGGGATTGGTGAAATCCGAAAGGGATGAATCATCTATCTGTAAATTCTATTGCTCTATTAAAGTTTTTATGAACCATCTCATTTGATATTCTTAAGTTCTGTTTGACAGCTTTTGGATCGAGTTTGTGCCGATTTATGTGTTATAACTCCGAGAATCCATGTTGGAATTATAATGTTTATGTAATTTGAGTCGTAACAGGTTTTGTGTTGAAGAGGTTAATTCAACTTTGTTATACAAGTGGCATGGCCTGGAAAAATGATCCTTATAATTTTCTTCTTCAACAAATTTTGCAGCTAAGGATTGTATGATGGTGTGTGGTGAAAGTTGTATGCATAGAAGGGTTATAGAACCTCTAAGAGGCAGGAAGGGAGGGAGTCCGATGAGAATCTTGAAAGTAAGTCTCTTTTGAATGATTACATGGGTCTTCGGTCAATCTTACTTTTCTTACTTTCTAAAGCTTCTGCCTGGTGGATTGGTCTAACCTCTTGCAGTGTGTACTTATCATTTGCTGCCTGACATCTCAGTTTGCCTCTTACATGTTCTCTATTTTCTGATAATGTATTGTTGAAGTTTCTGGGATTTCGTTCTTGCTGAATATGATAAAAGGTTCTGCCTGAGTAGTATATTATATGGTAGATTATTTAAATCGTCCAATGAAATTTGAGATATTTCAAAAGGAAAAGAAAAAGAAAAGCATGTATAGAAAAGGAGAAGATTGATTGGAACTTAAATAGTCAAGAAAGGAGTTAATAAAATGATACAATCACAAGAGCAGCAGATCCTGATTCTGATTTGCGGGATCCACTTGGCCCGACAAGCTGGGCTCTTTAGGCTTCCTGGTTGTTGCTTCTCTTCCAAACCCCCAACAACTTCCCAATACTCACACAAAAATCTCCACTCTCTCTCTCTCTCTCTCTCTCTACTGAATTCAAACTTGTGAGCATGTCACTCTGCACACCTTAACAATTGATACAGTTCGAAAAACCCATCAAGCTTATCATGCCCTACAACACATTCCAAGGTTTTGAGCATGAGATATGGAACTTATCATGCCCTAAAAACATTTTCAAATATTTGAGCATGATACAGTTTGAAAAACCCATCAAACTTATCATGCCCTACAACACATTCCAATGTTTTGAGCACGAGACACCAAACTTTTCATGCACTAAAAACATTTCCTAAGTTTTGAGCATGATATAGTTCGTAAAATCACAAACTTACCATGAATTGGGCCACGGTGTTCTCTTAAGGTTTTTAGGCCCTAATTATATACCAATACCTTTTCTAAGTAGCAATAAGGATATATAGGATATGAGTGTTAGAAAACTACTATACAAAAATCACTACTCTGGGATCACTCTCTGGGGTCACTTACCCATCTTCATCAACTATCACTAACCTACATATATATATATATATATATATAATAAGAGTAAAAGAAATTAAGAATTGTCGAGTTGTTTGGGGCTACTGTGCCGTGGTAGTGGTAGTAGTAGTCAGTCAATGGAGAACAACTCTTTGAAACTTTACTTCTGTGGGAGAATCTGACCCATCACACGCAGCTCTTTTCCTGTTGAGTTTGCTACCGCAGCCATTGACGCTGAGAAAGGAGTCCTGGTGGAGAAGCTGCGGCGGCGGTGATGGAATTGTGACCGGTGGGATCTCAAAGGACTCCAGCGGTGGTGGTGGGTGTCTCCATTGAGGCAAAGGTCCGGCCAGGAGAAGAGTCTGCAGAAGCGGACCGGCTTTCATAACCGCCTGCAAAAGCTTTCCCTTCTCAGGCAATGGCTTCTCTGGAAGTAACTCAATTGTGGACTGCGATAGAGGTTGAGGTAGCGGTGGAATTGTGTCAATTACCGGAGATGAGACAATGCTTTCTTCACAGTCCGATGAAGAGAAGCCATTGTGGGATCTAGGTTCATCTTCAATGCTTGAAATTCCAGAAAGAGGAGCTGTTTGTTGTTGTTGTTGTTGGAGAAGGAGTCTCTCAAGAAGTAGTGTTTGGCACTTGATTTGAGCTTCGTCTCTTTCCTTGGCAGTCTTGGAAAGTAGATCTTTGAGTAAGAGTAGCTGATCATCTCTCTTCTTCAGCTCCTGCTGAACTGCAATTCTTGTTTGTTCAAGCTCCAGAGTAGTGTACAAGAGAGAATGTTTCAAATCTTCCATGGTCTGCAACATCCAAAACCCATGAACAATTTAGTTCCCAAAACCCAAAAAAGAAAAAGAAAGAGTGGGAAGAGAGAAAGAATGTACCTTTCCCTGGCAGCAATAAGCAAAGGTGAGAAGAGAAGAGCGATGGTTGTCCATGGCTGAATAGGTAATGGAATGTTGAAGGGGGAAGAGGGTAATTATAAGGAGAAAAGAAGAGGAGGTTATTAGACAAAAGTGGAAAAGGCCAAAACCCAAACCCTCTTTTTTCCACTCTCAACACTCTCTCTCTGCTTCTTTCTACTCCCACACAGACCCTAGCAAACAAACAAACAACTACCATTTCCTTTTTCTTTTTTCCCCTTTTTTTTTAATTAGATATATACATATATATATACACATTATTTATATATTGGAATTCTTCCTTTATATAAAAGAAAAGAAATAATGAGAACTACTTCTTGAGTATTTAACAGTGTGAAGATTAAACCAAGAAATTATACAAATACATGAAGATTTGATTTACTCTTGCAAACACTAAAAATCACAACCTACTAGCACTTAATAGTCTTAACAATCCCAAGTTTTAATAGGAAAGATGATTTTGATGGGTATACCAAGTGTTAAATTTTAAACCAAATTTATGTATTGAATATACAATCAATAAAAGATAATTGGTAAAAATACTTAATTTGTTTGTATATATAATTTATTTTCTAAATACCAAAACGTTTTTTAAACATTTAATTAATTGTTAACATGCCTAATCATGTTTTTGACAATACAAGAGATTTCTTACACGTGAGCTGCCTCTCCATGTAAATTATCATTTTCATCCATTTGCTCGCTAACCGTAATTTTTTCTTTAATCTTCTTTTTTTTTAATAATAATAATTAAAAAAAACGTGTAAAACGAAGCAAAAAATAATATTAATATTTTATGACCTTAATTTATTTATTAGCAGGAAAAAATCATGTGTAAAATTAATTTATAACTATGAAAATGATTTTATACAATGACTACGTATGGGTTTGATATTCGGTTTTCATTAATAATTTTATAAAAATTTTAACTTTGAATAAAAATCTAATACTACATTATTGCATACTTATTCATTATATAAAATACTGTTTTTTTTTATTGTGTTTAGTTAAATTAATTCCAATAATTATTAAGTATCCGAGTAAAGAAATTAAATTTTTTTTAATTAAAATAGCGGTACCGAGATAAAAACTTTATTTACTATTTTGAAATATAGTTGACCTCAAGTTTAAAAGATCTATCACCGAATAGATATCTTTTGCGACTAATTTTTTTGATAATATGGTAACCACACTGATACATATAATAATTATTAATATAATTCATGCAACTATTTATGCATTAAACTAATTTTTTTTCTTGATCAAATATAACTAACTCAGAACCGGTAATATTATTTTAATAGTTTCTGTTCAAGAATCTTTTTAAATAATTAATAAGATAATAAAATGTTAAAAAAAGAGGGAGAAGGTAGCTAGTAATATTAGGTTAAGGTAGAATTATCTTACTTTTGCCTTAGAAATTCGAGAGAATTTTTTCCACGCAATAATCTACTTGTTGTGGTAGGATCTCTTGTGGTCCCTTTTATTTTCTTTTATCCATGCAATAATTTACTCAACTTAATATCCTTTTTATAATCAAGAGAATTAAGAATAATATTCAAATAATCCACTAATGTTATGATACTGATAATTAATTATAATAATTTAAATTTCAAACTCATAATTCAGAGTATAAGAATGAAAAAGTGAATTATCTCCTTTTGGATTAGCTTAATCAAATATTTAATGTTTAAAAAAAAAACTTTTATTTTTTTATTTTTTATTTTTTCCATTCTTATTTTTCATTTGGGTATTTTACATTCTAATCTAAGACTATTTAATTTTAAATAAAATTATCAAATAAATTTTTAAATCACTACTAGTCGTTCATACTTAATGGATATAGGATCATATATTTTAATGTCTAATTTAACAAAGTGTGTCTGTGAGTGAGAATGAATAGAAAAAATATCCTTCAACTAGTAACGAACATTATGCTAGGTATGACCAATCTATAAAGCATAAATATGTTGACTTTGAACTATATATATATATATATATTCTAACATAAAACTATATAATAGTAAGAAAATGATTCTTTATAACTTGGATTTGCTTGATCTTTCCCTTAAGTAAAACTTTCATTGGATGTAAAAGGCTTTCTAGGATCATAATCCCTTTTCATGAATTTGTTGAACATTATTATTTCTAAAATAATTAAAATTAACCTCATATAAAATCTCATTTGGTATTTAAAATAATCCTTCTAAATTTTCAGAAATGTAAAGCATATTGTTCAAAATATATATAAAATTTCATTGCAGTGCAGTCAATTATTTTTCTAATAAATTTCTATTACCTATTGGTTAAATTAAGTGTAAATTTAAAAGTCTTTTTAAATTTGTCACAATTATGAACTCTAAGAAATTAAAAAATAAAAATTCAAAAAAGAAACTAAAATATATTTTACAAAATTGATAAATTATTATCCAAAATCGAAAACTTCTCAACTGACTAATTGATTAGGATTTAGAAGAATTTTCTGCTACATACTATTTTTTTCTCACTTAGGCAGCATTAACGTACTTATGGTAGAGATGTTTATTGACATTTTAATCCGATACCATCGAGAAGTCTTTTTCCGGTACATGTACATATAATTTTTTTAGTAATAAGTTCATACACAGAATTATATCTGTAAGAAAAAAAATTATATCTGATTAAGCAAAATATCATTTACATGTTTTTGTTGACAAAAAGAACACAATCAAAAGTTCAATATTATAGAGGGATGGTTAGTACTACTTTTTTGACTTGAGGAATGTTTGCATTCGCAATTTTCTTGCTCATATCATATTCATCGCAGACGACTTCACAGTTTGTAATGTTTGTATGTGCATGTGCGTGTGTGTGTGTGTGTGTGTGTATATATATATGTATATATTATACATTTTTCTTCAAAAATAAAATAAACTTCCATAGTGCTTTCCATGTTCCCATATATGTTCAAGGGTCAACGGTTGTCAGTTTGATTGATCAGCAAAGGGAGCTGGTAACCAAACCAAACTTTTTCACCTATATTTTTGCCAAAGAAAGTTGATGGACACGTTTTGAACAAACCCTTACTGAGTCTTCTTTCTGGGGGACAAATCAAGCTTCTCTTTGACTATTCCAAGACTAGATTTATACTTCTCACTCCTATTTAGTTATATTTATTTATCATACATCTAACTATCACTTGGGTGTATAACAAACTTCATCTTTCCTCTCTACTATACCAACACGTGGCAATTACTCTCGTATTGGATTAGAGATTGGGATGGATAATATGGTAACATGTCTTTGTCTACTTCGAATGAGAGTAAGTAAATTAATAAATTAGGGGGTAGTAAAGAAAAGTACATGTAATAAATTATTTGATTGTAATGCTACATATTATAAACTTTACCTACTTGCACCTAACATGACCCATTTCCTTTGATTTGTGTATGTATATATATACATATCTCATTTTTTTATATTTGAGTATTAATCACATACATATATTTACATATAGCTGCTCATTATCATACACCTATAATTTCCTTTTCAAATTTCCTCTCTCCTCTCTTCCCTGCACGCTGTTGAGTAACTCATCCCTTTCATAGATATAGTTGTTATCTACATAAACAACAAACACTCTTTGGAGTATCCTATTGCAGGCCAAGCTATAATTCTAGGAGATGATGAACAAGCTTGAAACAGAGAACACAATTAAGACAAATAGCTTTCGAGGACACATCTTAGACAAACAGCTTGCGAGGAATGACATATTTTGCAAGTCACGATTAACAACCATTTTGTTTCCATTAGCAATGCTTAGTTAAAAGCACAACGACCATTTGAAGGGACGATGTCTTCCACATCCATGTTTAACACTTTTCATGATCACAAGTAGTAGCCAAGTACGTAATTTCTTTTTCACAGTTCATTCTCTTGTATTTTTTTTCTTAATTTTTACTAGATAACTTTGCTCACTTGTGGTCTTTATTTAATTTTTTCTCCTTCATATAGCTAAATTGCTAAGTAGACAACCTCCAATTCTTCTTGATTGGAGTCTAGGTTTTCTTTAGTTTTCACAAAGTTTTTTCCCTTATATTGGCACAAGCAACTAGAATTTACTTATGTAATTCTTATTTTATATTTTTTTTAAACTGAGATATTTTACGTATTATTTATTTATTATATATTTTATTTGTTTGCTATTACTACTATAATATTTGCTTCATTTCACATTATATACGTACATATGCATGCACTTTGTTGGCTAGTATTTTATTTTATTCGAAAAATAGACATTCTTAGTTCTGATCTTTCGTTTTTTTTTTTTTTTATTTTCATTCTTTGTCATTAAAAAAGTTCATAAACGAAGGTTGTCCATCGAGCACATTAAAATTGACCCCATGATTGTAGATTTGTTAATGAAAAGATTATAATAAAGATATCTAATGAATATATTAAGAGCACTGGCATTGTTGAAAACAATTATTTATATTATGATAATATTTAAGTTATAATGAAGTTTTATGTTCTTTATGTATCTGAGACTCTAAGTTCATTTAATTATTATTTCTTATATGCTTTATATATTATCTCATTATGTTAGTGTATACATAAATGAGCTACATGATTATAAATTGAATTTGTCTCTGATAAAGACGTTATCAAGGACCATTATGATATTTTTCATAAAAGATCAATTGAGTAAGAACTAATAATGTGATACGTGGAAGGAAATATGTCAAGACAATGATATACGACCTCTATGATTCTTTTTAGTTTTTCTACTTAATGATAATTTATGATTAACAAATGTAATGAAGAATTAACTTATGATCTATTCGTTATTATTAACTAAAGCATAAAGTTATAGGACATCACAATGGACAAGTAAAAGAATGTAACAACTCATTCGCATATAATTCAAATTG